CATTACGAGTTGATTTGATATGTTTTGACACGAGTTCTTGAAGTTGAAAGTTCATTAAATTTGATTTGAGGTGCAATTCATGGTTTTGATATTTCTATGAGGGATTTGAAGCCTCGAGCAGGTCCCTATTATGTTTTGGGACTTATTGGTATGTTTGGACGGGGTCCGAGAGGCTCGAGTGAGTTCGGGATAGGTTTAGGTTGTGTTGCGCTCGTTTTGTATGTTTCGACGTCATTTATTCAAGCGTAAACGGTGCCACATTAAGCAAATGAGCTCCAAATTTTGCTTTGATTGAAGCATTATATCCATATCATAATTACGGAGTCATAGCAAAAAGAATCGTTTAATCTAGACATTGTATGAGGGAGTTATGCTCATTTTAGTGTCGAAGAAGTTATTAGTTGTTGTTGGTGCTTCACAAATTCAAATTGGGGTCCGCATCTACGACCCTGCAGATACGAAAAATGGTCCGCAAAAGCGGAAATGACAGATAGAAAACCGCAGGTGCGGCATTTTTGGCGCAAAAGTGGAAATTCACGTGTATAAAAAAATCAGACTGCATTCAATTGGTATTTTGAGCATATCTTGTGTTCTAGAGCTCCGATTTAGGTGACTTTCATGGCGTTCTTCTCGTATTTTCAGGGGATTAATATCTAACCTTAATTTTAGTATTTTAACATAGTTACACTAGTTCATATGTGAATTAATCCATATTTTGATTTGAGAATTGTGGCTTTTTATCAAAAACTTTTCTAAAGAGACAATTTGGTTTTTAAACATCGATTCGGAGTCAGAATTGAATGAAATTTAGTATGGTTGGACTTTTATTCGAATAGGCTATCAGAATCTGTATGTTTTGTCGGGTTCCGAGGTGCGGTCCCTTATTCACTTTTATCGCTTGGGTTTATATCCTATGGCATTATTTGATATTTTTGAGTTGCTTTTGGCTAGTCTCGAGTCATTCAAAGGTTGATTCACGCGGGATGGTATTTTTAGAGTATTCTTTGGCTTACTCGGTATTTCATTTGGCTTTTTCGAGGTAAGTAACATATCTAAACTTGGATTTGAGGGTAATTATCCTTGAGAACTATGATATTTGAGATAGGTTGGGAGTGACACACGTGCTAGGTGACGGGTGTGTGTGTGTGTGCACCAGGTTGTTCATGATCCGAGTAGTTCTTAGGCTGCTATATGCCTGTTTTAACAATCATGCTTCCTTGATATCATGTTCACTCCATTTGTATGACTACGTGAGCTATTGTTCATGCTAAGAATCATATCTAGGCTATTTGCTTATTTATTGAGACATGATAGGGCTATGTCCGCCATTTGAGCTATTTGCCTTAGCCGTGGTCATACTGTTCAGTCATGTTAGTTATATCTGCATGTAATATTTTTGTTTCCTTGCAATTTGATATGTTGTCTCTCATGTTGTTAGTGTCCTTGTACGTGACACGAGTTTGAGTTGTCTTTGTGGCACATTGTGATACTTCGTGTTGTATAATTGAATTATGTTTCATGAGATGTGAGCCATTGAGACTTGAACAGATCGATGACTAGTGTGGGCTGTAGAGCTGTGTTTTTAATGGGATTTGAATCGGGTTGCACGCCGCAACAGAATTGATATTTGGATCGGTTTGCATGCCATAACAGGATTGTTATTTGGATGGGGTTGCCCGCCGCAGCAAGCCATATTGGCTTTTGATTAGCGCTTGGGCAGGATCCGCCCTTCTGGAGTCTGACATGCCAGCAGTGGGCGCATGCACAGTGACATATACACGTGCTTTGGTGAGGGGCTTTTGAGCTAGACACCCCTACAGTGCTGAATGATTGTGTGTGTGATGAAGTAGGGCATTTGACCGTGATAAAGTGGGGTATTTGAACCAGGAACCTTGAGTGTGCTGAGAGTGAGTGTACTTGATGATAGGACTGTGAAATATTTACTTGTCATGTACATTGATATGTAGCCATAGAGTGTATTTTCCTCATGCTAAACGGTAATATGACTTTTGATGACTTGACGTGTATATTGACATGTAGGCATAGAGACGTGTCTTCTCATGTTAACTGGTAAACGAAAAGTCATATCTGATGTTGTGAATTGGAAAACACCGTTCTTTTGGATAATCTCATGTTTAGTTGTTTTCAGTGGTAAGATTTGGACCTTGATTGTTGTACTAGAAAAGCATGTCTACTTTCCCGTAATTGTGAATGAGCTGAGCATAATATCTTTTGAATTATTATTTTCACTCTCTTAATTATATTATTATGGGTTATTATTGACTATTAGTGTTGGACTCCGACCATCTTTCGAGCTCGTCACTACTTTCAACCTGAGGTTAGGTTTGTTACTTATTGAGTATATGGGGTCGGTTGTGCTCATACTATACCTCTGTACCTTGCGTGCAGATCTTGGAGCTGATGATGGTGTGAATGACGGGAGCTGGCATTAAAGATGTACCTACCTCTAGATATGGCTACAACTTGTCTTGATAGTTTTATATTCAAATTCTTTTTATGTACATTCCGAACAAATGTTGTATAATTTCATACCAGATTTATAAATCTAAGTCTTCGCGACTCATGACTTATACTACCAATCCTGGGGATTTTTTATGGACGTTCAGTCATTTTAAGCTCTTATTCTCATTTGAGTTGTGTTGAATATGATTTGGCTTACCTAGCGGGTTGATTTACGTGTCATCATGACTAGATGGATTTTGGATCGTTATAGTTTAGAACCTTACAACTTTGTTTAATATACAACATAAATGTCATCCAGGGGAGTAGCTCGTGTGCTTTGATCTAGGAGTAAGATTGTAGCACGTAATGTATAGGTTAGACGTACATTATGGCTTAAAAACTCTACCACAAAAAATATAATATTTATATGAAGAATGATAGAGAGATGAATTTATCATCCACCAAGTTTCAAACCGTACGTGAGTGACAACATCCAAATCCTAGTAAAGGGATAAAAAATGCAAGAATATCACTACTAGGATTCATAGCATGTTTGGCCAAGTTGGAGAAATCAGCTATTTTGAGAAGTGCTTTTTTCAAAAGTGTTTTTGAAAAAAATACTTTTGGAGAGAAACAGTTTGTGTTTCGCTAGTCACTGTGAAAAGCACTTTTGAGCAATAATTTGTATTTGGCCAAGCTTTTCAAAAAGTGTTTTTAAGTATCAAATTACGAATAAGGACATGAATAGATGTACTTAATAGTTAATAGTATAAGTAATTAAAAAAATCTCAAAAATTTGTTATTACAGGCAATAATTAAATCTTTTCATTTTATTTAAGTAAAATATGAAAATAAAATTAAAAAGTACTTAATTCTTTTAATATAAGTTAAATATATTAAAATTCATTCAACAAATATAAAAGCATTTACCCCTAAACGTCACTATATATTAGAAAGCTATCCTAAAATAAGAAGAAATACTTATACATTAATATCCTAAGTATATGGTTTAATGGTTATTTTGGTATATACTATATTTTGTTAAGGGTATTTTAGGTAAGAAGAAAAGTCAAAACTGCTTCTGCTTCTGCATCTGCTTTTGGGAAGAAGCAACTTTTTTCTGCTTCTGAGAAACTGCTTCTGCTTCTTTCCAAAGGTACTTTTTTTCCCCAAAAAAACTTGGCCAAACACCTCAAGTTAGGAAAAAAAAATGATTTTGACCTCTTGAGAAGCTTGGCCAATTAGTCTATCAGACGTGTAACCTTGAATATTTCTTGAACGCCTTTTTCAATAAATTTAAAGTTAAATTGAATTTCTTTGTTTGAACATAGCTCCGCCATTGATCCTAGATACTTTCTCAATTATAAAAAATAAAAATAAAATAAAATAAGGTGTCATATGAGGTACTAATATAGTCTACGAAATCAAAAGAGTAATTACACACAAGCAGTCTCCTCCTTTATTTTCAGACAGTGTAGTAATACTGGTCTGGAGACTGGAGTGTGTGTGTGTGTGTGATGTGATAGGATAGAAATGACAAGAGAGAAGGAAGTTGGGCAAGAGGGTGTGAAAGAGGGAGTAAAGGTATGATTGATGGAATGATGGGATTTATTTCCCACGGGACTCGCACGTGGGGGTGTAAACACACACAGTGGTTGATTGAAGAAATCTTTCTGAAAGAAAGAAACCAGGAAAAGAAAATAGGGAGCTATTACTGTCCCCTCCACCGCATGTATGTTTGCTTCACGCAAGCTGCAGCTTGTTTTCCTCCTTTTTGCTTCTCTCTTCGCCTTGGCTTAGAAGTTTACACCAATATGCACCCCCTAGCTCCACCCCTAAAGAACATATAAATTTTCTATTACCTTTTATATAGATTTATATTTTATGTTATGCATACTAACTTGATATATATGCCGTTTATGAAAGAAAATATTAGTTTTAAAATTTATTTCTAAAACAAGACAAAAATATTTATCATCATCTTATTAAGGATAAATAAGAATGTTTAAAGTTATAATTTATTCTTTTTGGAGCAGAATATAAATTGGAACGAAAGAAGCATATATTACTCAAATAATTTAAAGAGTTTATATATTCCATATTTCAAAAGTTTCTTTTCTAAATTTCATGTCCAATCAAACTCGATCACGTAAATTAAGTTAGGACGGAGACAGTGTTATTCTGTGTTTCTTATTTATTGTAACAAATAAAATATCTTACTTTATGGGTTACTAATCTCTTTTTTTTCTATAAATAGTATATCTAATTTATATTTAAATAATCTGATCAATTTATGGGATTAAAACTCCTGTTATCCTAAAATATGTATGGTGAGATTTACTCTCTTGGCAGGTCTATCAACTGACCCACCACCAAAGCTTCCACAAATAATTTAAATGAAAGAGTTGAATTAAATTAATACTAGTAGTAACAAACAGTAGCTAGGTGTCCATTTTATTTATTCTTAGTCTATATTCTTTTTAAATAAATACCCATCTCTCTCCATATCTTTAGCTCTCTTTCTGCTTCTGCTTCAGCTTCCAATTTTCCAAGACTCCACAAAGCTCAAAAAGATCACACACATATATAGAGAGGGAGAGAAAGAGAGAGAAAATATGAACGGTGGCTGTGGTAGTGCTGATCGTCAATATAATAACGATAACAACAATAATAATAATGTTGTAGGTGCAGGAGGTGGTGGGCCTTGTGGTGCATGCAAGTTTCTTAGAAGAAAATGTGTGAGGGGATGCATATTTGCACCATATTTTGATTCTGATCAAGGCACTGCTCATTTTGCTGCTGTACATAAGGTGTTTGGAGCAAGCAATGCCTCTAAATTGCTGCTCAGAATTCCAGCACATAAACGTCTGGATGCTGTCGTTACACTTTGCTATGAGGCTCTTGCTAGAGTTAGAGACCCTATCTATGGTTGTGTTGCTCACATCTTTACTCTTCAGCAACAGGTATGAACTTTTTGGGTTTTTTTCTTGGTAATATATAGATATAGTAACATTACTTCATTTTAAACTTATTGACTGATTTTTGATTGGTTTCTTGCTTTTCAATAATCTTACTAAAAAGAATTCGTATTTCTGTTTAAGTTCATATAGTGTGATGACTTGTATGCTGAAGTTGATGAGATGTGCTCCAGGGTTGAAAACTTAAGATTGACTTATGTAGAGCTCTTTAAAGAAGAGGGGATAAAAAGAGAAATCAAATTATTGGATTAGGGTTGCCACATAATTTGGGTTTTTAATGATCCTTTTTTTTATTGGTTCAAATTTCTTAAAAGATTACTAGATTTATCAACAGCCGGTATTCTAATAGCATCAAAGAGTATCCAAAAGTATAAGCTAAAATTTCTGAAATTATTTCAAGATATATCAAGGTGGGGTTAGGTAAACTTACTTCTGTTCTTTGTTGTGGCTTGCATTTTTCTTGAAACTTTAGGATAGTCAATAATTCAAAATCTAATATTGTCAAAAGGATCATAGTAGAAAACTATATGATAGAACCCTCAACTGTCTATGTGTTCAAAATGGTTCGAGTCTTTTCTTACAGTACTTTGAAAGTCTTTGTTGTTACTGCTCATTGACAAGTTGCTAACAAATAGGAGTAATAAAATGCGTAAGGGGTCGTTTGGTATGGTGTATAAGAATAGTGCGGAATAAGGTGTATTAGTAAGGCAAGTATTAGTTATGCATATATTATTTCTTATTTACTGTTTGGTGTGGTGTATTAAAATTATAATGCATTGCATAATTTTTTAAAAAAATAGTTGTTTACAAAAATGCCCTCCATATTCTCTAGCTTTAAGGGACATTAAGGACAATTTTGTCTTTACCCATACTAATGCATGCATTAATAGCCTTGGTATTACTAATGACATTGTTTCCTATGCATTACTTATACATAGGATAATACCAAGTATGATGTATAACTAATACAAGTATTAGTTATACATAGGTTGAAAAAATGTACCAAACAAGGTATTAGTAATGCATAGAGCTAATACTGGCATTATTTTTTCCAATACCTCCTACCAAACGACCCCTAATAGTTAATTTATTATCACAGTAACATGTTATGTTGTACATAAATTCATTAGTATGCACTTCTCCTCCCCGCCAGATTACAAGGCTCCTAAAATTATTACGATATCTGAATTTGAAAATTTTAGTAGATTGTAAGTTTTTTACATTGACAATATAAAATTATTTACATAATCAGGTCATTTGAAAGATAATAGCAGGGAACTAACTCTATTTAATAGCATTAATTTGTTATATAGATTAATTTAATGGTATGCAATCTGTTATAATATGTTAAATTACATTGATGGTGTAAAAAAGTTCATTATATTATTGATGTAAATAACATAAATCCTTTTTAAAATTGAGTGTAAGGTTTTATGTACTAACAATGTATAAGTGTTTTATACTATCAAATTTAATCGAACCTACTAACAAATAATTTTTCATAGTAAAATTGATATGATGATAACTTAGAATAATATGTTATAATCACTTAAGTTTCCTTGTTAGAGGGTGTTTGGCTAAGCTTATAAGCTGGTCAAACTGGCTCATAAGCACTACTTTTTTGGCTTATCTACGCGTTTGGTAAAATTAAAAGTGCTTATAAGTTAAGTGCTTATAAGCCAATAGTCATAAGTTGGTCTCCCCCAACTTATCAAATTTCAGCTTATAAGCACTTTAAGTTTGACCAAAATATTTATTATTCTATCCTTAAAATATTTCTTTTTAAAACAAAACTCTTCGTACACCCAATTCTTTAGCTGCATATTATAAATTTCAGCACTTTTATCTAAACGTGTAACTGCTTATTTATTAAATCAGCTTCAGCACTTAAAAGTGCTTTTCAGCACCTAATACTTATCAGCTACTCTAAATCAACTTAGCCAAACGGGCTCTTAGTATAAGAAACTTTAGAGTGTATATAATTTAAATCCCTTAAAATTGAATCTAACTTGCGCTGTTCCTTCACAAGATAGAGAGTGACTTTGCATAGAATAGTTGATGGATGTGGACTTTGAAATATTTTGTCTTGCTTGGCGGGAGTAATAAGTAACCCTAACAAACTTTAGCAGCTCGAGATATATTCCCATTGTTCAATAATTTGACTTTCTTCCTTACTTTGTTTTCTTACCTGTTTATGGTGGAACTAACAAAGGTGCTAAATACTATGCGTTATAAAGTGTTAATATGGCAAATTCAGATGCAAATGAATATTAGTCCGTGCATTTCATTTAATGTGACATCTTTCAATTTTACCTTTTTTATATTTATAAAAAGAATCCAACTTTAAATTTTCTTTTTAGTTTTTAGTCATGATATGATTTTATAGTTACATAAATATCATGATATGTGTAAAATTAGAAATTCTATTTTTTTTCTTTCTTAAACTCTTTGCCCAATTAAGCACCTTCACCTAAAATGAAACATAGTGAGTAATATTTTACCATTTAAGTAGTATATTTGATGCTAAAAAATCTTTTGTTGAACAAATTAGTTAAGCATTCAAAATTCGTGGGAAGATTCCAATGCTCAGGAATAAAATACACAACGAAGTGTCTATTATTGGGCAGATAAGCACAAAGCTATTTAATTAGGTAGGAAAACAAGTACTTCTATGTTACTTGCAATTCTATCCATTATAGGAGATAACACAAATGTGTTCGCACTTCCAAGAACATAATTAAGCTTGCTGACATTAACTTTCTATACGCCACGAATTGTCGTTACCTCTTGTTACAAAAAATTATTAAGAGAACATAATACATTAAAGTGGGTTTTGCCGTCCATGGCGGGTGGAAACCTGACAGATATAGTACGATCGATTTTCATAAAAATTATACGAGGGATTATCAACCATAAGGATTTATATTAATTTGTTTGTTGTAGACTTGAGACTTCAGTCAGTACTGAAACCTAAGAAAACAAGAAGTAAAATATTTAAAAAGACACACTTAATGTTTCATATAGTATATTGTTTGGATTTAACGTGTATATATATTGTCAGTGTAAAGAATTTTTATATTATTATTTTATTTTAATATATTATAACATAGGTAATAAGTTTTATTTTTGAAATTACTAGTCTCACTTTTTATGAACAATTAATTAATTATATTTATCTTTTAGGTGATTTATTAGTGTGAAGTTTTATTTTATATACGAGTGCATAAAGGTTAAACTCATATAGTCTATAAAAAGCAGGATTAATAACCTGAAAATAATGAAAAAGTTAAATACACTAATTGTAAAACAAAAAATTACACGTTTCACTGTGTATTAGTGAAAAGGACTTAACGCTGTTAATTGATTTTAACAGGTTGTTATCAGTGTAAGAATTTTAAACTTTGAAACTATTGTACTTTATTGACTAACAGTAGCGGCCTTCTTGATGAATATCTGAAGTAGAAAACAAATTCATATATTTTTTTTCTTTTGATTTTTCACCCGATATTATTCAATACTCCCAATGTGGTTTGATTTCACACACATATGCAGGTTGTAAGTTTGCAAGCTGAGTTAGCATATGTTCAAGCCCGCCTTTCTACCTTACAGCACCTCCCTATGCGACAAGGGCCACAGCCACAAAGTCCAATTACACCAACAGGGCTGCAATCATCTTCAGATATCTTCTGCACTACTTCAAGCATATCATCTTCAAGTAATAATATGGAATATCCTCAATTTGACATAACTGCAGGTTTAAGTGATTCGTTCGATGATCAAGAACTAGAGAACTTTGAGCTCCATACATTAGCACGAGAGTTTGTTTCTAGACACTTACCTGGAGTTAGATTTAGACCTTCACCATGAAGATGTGCTTCCATGCTTAATTAAGTTTAGTTCTATGAAGATTATTATCATATAACTCCCTTTTTTTTTGTATGGAACTTTTTTGCTGTATTCTACTAATTGCGATTCTATGAATTTTGTTGAACTTTAATCTTAGCGAATTGACGTAACTGCTTGTTTCTTACTTAAGCTTCTTGTCTTTGCCCACGGATAACTAAATATTTTTTTCATTCATGTGTATGTTCTTTGTGTGTGTGTGAGAGAGAGAGTATGTGCGTGTGATATAAACATCACGTCTGTTCATTATTACAAATGAGAAGGGAGGACTGTAGAACCCAGTTAAATAAATAAAAAAAAATAAAGAAAAAGAGAAAGCTGGCAACAAGCTGCAACCAAAAAAACAAAACAAATATGGACGACAATTTGCAAATCTGCAAATTGCAATGAAATGAATGCATTTGATTGGCTAACTTGGACGGCAACTTTGCCTATAAAAAGAAGTGATTCGTTTCAGTTTAAAGCACACCAAAATCATAGAGAGCGCAATAGAGCGTAGAGAGAGTAATCCACAGATTGTAGTCTGTGAGATAAATAGTAAGTGAGAGTAATATTATAGTGAGGTGTTTAAAATAAAGAGTGTTATTTCTTTCGAAGTTATAGTAGCCTCTTGACACTACTAAGTTGTAATATAATAGTGGTAATATTGCTCCACTGGGGTATTGTATTTTATCCCGTTAAAATATTTGGTATCGTTGTTATTCTCTTGTGTTGTTGTTATTTACCGTGGATATTATTTCTGGGTAGGATATTATTTTTTTATTCCCAACAAAGACAACAAGAAGGAATAGAAAAGAAAAAAAAAATCTGGGGCGATTAGTGCTGCTGTGAGCCCGGCCTTTTTGCTACAATCAGGGGTAGACAATCAGGCTTTTCCTGCCTTTTAACCAGAAGTCCTATTTCAATGAGAAAAAAGGGAAACTTACACAAATGTCCCAAATAAATTTTAACTTACCAACCTCTAGCCATTAGTCATAGACTTACCAAAACTAGCCAATAAAAATTAAAAAACCAAATAATAGGGTTCTTTCTATCAAAGAATCACATGCAAAAATCACCTTTCATATTTTAAGCGTGATTAGCAACATTAGATACAAGACGGAAAGGAAATTTCATGAATGGGGTAGCAAATAAGGTGATGAAATACAAAAATCTATACAATATTCCAAAAATCTAATCAAAAAAGGAACTTTTTCAATGGGTATAGTTGAAATTCATTGAAAATATATAGATAAGTCAATATACAAAATTTGAGGAAGATTGGAGGCGATTTGGACTGGTTTTGTATCAAAATTCGTAATTAAATCGAGTTCAAAAAAGTCTTCTGCGCACATGTATCAAACATGTATCACGCATGTATCTCACACACAGGTATACATGGATATACATGTGATACACAATAGATACAAACATGATACATATGTGATACACAAATGATACACAGTGTGATACACATATCATTTTTTTTCTGTTCAGCTTTTACTTCGAATTTTCAATTCAAACCACCTCAAAACTTCACCAAATCATCCCAAAACTGAGATTTAAGCTCCTTAATTTGTGCCCAATATATTCTAATAACACCCACTCAAAACAAAGCAAAAATTTGATATTTTTTTTGCTACAAATAGCTAATTGGCTAATTTGGCTAATATTAATTATATTTTATCAATTGGCCAACTTTTGTAATGAGCTACTTATAAATGGACATAGCTGGTAATTTTCCGAGAAAAAATTGGGTGGGCTGGCCAATTTTTCATGAAGGCCCAGCTTCAATGGCCCAGTCAATTTTAAAGTAAAAATTAGAAAATTTTACACCCTATAGAAAACCTTAGTACCCTATTTAGTTTAAATAAATATTATTTTAAAATATTACATCCTATAGATACCTTTTATTCTTTATAGCAAAATATCTAATTATAGTTACATCCTACATTTAAGATATGCTAAATAATATTTTTCTCTCTCCTTTTTAATCTTTTCTCTCACATAATCACCGTATATCTGCTCTAACCACGTTCTCTCTCTCTCTTTTTGCATACTTTACTCTCTTCTCTCACAAACCCACGATTCATAACTCTTCTCCCACCCAAATTCTCTAGGTCTCCGCCATTATCTCTCCCCATTTCGTATCTCTCTAAAATCATTGTTTTAGAGCCGATACAAGTGCTCCTGGTAGGTTTAATTCATAGATTTTGATATCATTATTTTGTTTCTCTAATTTTAATACAGATTTTACTTTGTTTCTGAAGCAATAACCATTGGTATTGTTTACTCACCGGGAAGCTTTGGTTTTTCTCTCCAATGTCGGGTTCAACGCCACACAAGATGATAACCAGAGGTATACCCACCAAAATTCTAAATTTTGATGGGCCCTCTTTCTCATTGCAAATAACTCAAGCGGAGTCGGATTTTGCAGGTTTATCAGCAACTACAGTTTCAGAGAGAAGAACTAAACTACACAATGACAAATCGAAAGAAGTCCAAGTTAAGAAATCTTCAAAAGAAACAAAAAATCCAGTTGCTTCAAAGAGGAAAAAACCTATGAATGATTCTTCATGTGTCAATTTTAAGGAAGTTGATGCAAAAAAGATATCAGATACACGACACGAAAAGGTAATTGCTATTGTATCAATATGCATTCAAAGAAACTTATATGTATTCATAATTATTCAAGTTATTTTTATATGTATGATGTTGTATTCGTATGTATCTGGTTGTATTCATAAGTATTAAAACAATCCAGAACTATTTACACATACACATTTGTCAATAACTGAGTTGTGCTTACTTGAATATTGTATGTTGTATTTAAATCTATTTAGATATATTCAAATTCACATTTTTGTACTATTTGGTATTAATGTATTCAGTTGTATTTATACGTATGTATATGTATTCTGATGTATTTTTATAGTTGTATTTTAAGGATTTTCAAGGTTCCCATCACTGCTGTATTATTCAGCTGTATTCTACTGTATTATTCAGCTGTATTCTGCTGTATTATTCAGCTGTATTTTTCTTGCTTTCAGCTGTATTCAGTTGTTCTCAACTGTATTATTCATATGTATTTCTCTGTATTCAGCTGTATTCAGCTATAGTCAGTTGAATTCAACTGTAGTGAATACATCTGTAGTCAGCTGTATTCAACTGCTTTATTCAGCTTTATTCAGCTGTAGACAGTCATATTCAACTGTTTTAATCACCTGTAGTCAGTTGTATTATTCAATATTATTCAGCTGTATTCAGCTATATTCAGTTGTATTCAACTGTTTTAATCAGATGTAGTCACTTGTATTCAACTATTTTATTAAGCTGTAGTCAGTTGTAGTCAACTGTTTTATTCACCTATAGACAATTGTATTCAACTGTATTATTCATATGTATTTCTCTGTATGATCCCTTTGAAGTTTTTTTCATATCAGATCTGCCTCAACAGAAAGCTGGGAGCATGTAAGTATTCAATCATCATTCTTGTATGTTATATACAAATCTAATTGTATGAATTAGATTTAATTGTTTCAATCAATTATTTTTTAGGGATTGTGGGGTGCATGTTGCAGCACACGCAGAGTTTCTGAGCACTCTTGGTGAGATTCCACAAACAACATTTGATTCCAATCTACTCCGTCAAAGATATGGTGCTCTTCTCTGGGACTATGCTATGCGGAAGATAGATGCTGATGCCATAAGCGAGAATGAAACACCTTCAAAGATTGCTAGCCAAATCACGGAGTCAGATTCAAAGATGCAGATAGTGTTAGAGTAGCTTTAGGTTAATGTAGTTTTGGAATGTAGTTTGAAGATGTATACTGTTTTGAGTATGAATTTTGGTGAAGATGGTATTTAATTTGAAAAACTTATCACTTTATCGACAGTGTTCGTGTATGAAAATTGCAACTTTTCAATCGTTGTTTCACTGGTTTGTTCATAAGTATTCATGCTTATTCTTCAGTTTGTATTCATATTTATCTTACAGGATTCAAGTATGTATTAATACCAAGTAACTTTGCTTGAACAGGTTTTAGGTATTAAACATGTAAATATCAAAGTCGGAAACTTTATGTATTCTGATGGTAGGTTATATTAAAGAATTCAGATGTATTTTTCTGAATTCAGGTGTATTCAGTTGTATTTAACTCTATTATTCACCTGCATTCAGTGGTATTCGGCAGCATTCATTTATATGTATCTTTCCAGTCAGTTAATACATATTAAAGAATACACATTCAGATGTATTAAACAGGTTATACGTATTCAGTTGTATTCAGCTGTAGTCAGTTGTATTCAACTGTTTTATTCAGCAGTAGTTAGTTGTATTCAAGTGTATTATTCAGCTGTATTCATTTGTATTTTGTTATATTCATCTACATCCAGTTCTACTCAACTGTATTATTCATAAAAATACTTCAGCTGTATTCAGTTGTATTTTTTAGTATTCATCAATACTCAGTTCTACTCAACTGTATAGTTCATATGTATTTCTCTGTATTCAGTTGTCATTTCTATGTATTCAGCTATGTTGAATTTAATATGTATCTTTCAAATTCAGTTAATACTTGAAAAAAAAATATAAATTCAGATGTATTAAACAGGTTATTGTCTAGTTAGAGAATATAAATTCAGACTTAATGAAATTGTTATATTACAGCTGAGTATATAGATATATTCCGATGAATTCTGACTAGTTATGTATATAACTCAGACACTGTCTATAATAAACTGTCAAAATATATGTGGACAAGGTTATATTCGATTGTATCCAACACATTAAGGCAACTATATGTATTCAGAATCTATTCACGAAAGTCATTTCAGAATATATTTCTTGACAATGAGAATTTATTACTTGACAATGTCATCATAAGTATTGACAAATCGTTGAAGCAACAATACATGTCAGAATGTTAACTATTTATTACGTGGAGCATTTCTACACGCTCGCTTGTTATGTCCTCCCTGCCCACATATGCTACATGAATGTTGATTTTTCGGCTGCAACAACTCACTTAAAGTTTTATCGCGCTTCTTCTTTGGCCTTCCAGGAGGTCTTTTCCATTTGGGTGGTAGTACAACCTCCTCTGCAACATAATCTGGTATATTCCAGTCATTTCTGTCCGGTAGCGGGTACACTGGCACATCGTATGTCATTACAATTGTATTTGGTTTGTAATAGTTAGAGCAATATTCTTCTGGCATTAGAAACTTGCTCTTCAATACAGCCCAAGCATGTGGGCATGGCAATTCATCAACTTGAAACCTTCCACAAACACATTTTTTCTCTAACATGCAGACTGTGTAATTCCTCCCACCATCGTTAACTGTATGTAAATATTCAGTTGATGGTACCACCTACATTTAAAAATAGAAATATAAGTTTTGAGCACATATAACTGAATTATCAAATGTATAATGCTGAATTACTAAGTTACATACAACTGAAATAGTAGCATATAGATGAATACATCATATATTTAGACCAGCAGAATATCAACTGTAATTAGTGCAAAACTTATCAAAAGTCTGCTGTACTTTATGCAACAGGAGGCTAACAAAAACATTAGAAGGATACGTCATGACAATACATATTAAAATTACATATAATACAGCTTTGTTAATTGTATTCTGATGTATACGAATAGTTTTTGCAGCATGTTTTTAGTTATATTCAGTTGTATTCATATCAGATCTTCGGAAAAATATGTCTTGTATGTGTTTGAATTTAGTTGTATTCATATGTATTAATAATAGTTGTATTTAAAAAATGATTATATTCAGTTGTATTCATGCTCTGGCTATGATGGCTTGAAAGGTCTACCATACTCTGGCAACTAGAAGAAAGAGAAGATCCGCACGATCCTGTTCTGACTCTTTCTGGAGTACTTGATCTGGAAGTTGGGCGGCGCCCTTGCTCTTCTTCCTTCCTTGCTAAGGCTGCCTTAAGACCGGCAATCTGTTGAAGGGGAAAAACTAAAACTTAAAATCCAAATGCAATTCTTCTAGACTACATCTTTTGAAGAAAAGAATTGTCTTTTTGTTATCTACATTGTAGAAGGGAAAAGCAGTTCATGCCTATAAGTTCACTGATAAACAAAAAATATGGCAATTTTGAAACCTGTTCTTTTAGTTCCTTGACGTCAGAACTCTCCTTGTTGACCCGTGCAGTACCAAGCTCAACGGTAGAAACTCGTGCAGTACCAAGCTCAACTGTAAAAATATGGCAGTTTTTGTTGGTTGAGTTAAATTAGGAGAATATCGTGTGATTTGATTTCCTTCCATTTTTAACTAGTTTAACCTTCCACATTTTGCGTAGATACGTTACTGTATTCACTTTAATGCCGCTTGAATACAGTTAAATACATATCAAACTTAGCTGAAATTCCCTTTTTAACGCCTATATTTTCTATTGTATTAATGAATACAACAGCTTAAATACATAAAATACATTGTATAAAAATATAAAAGGTATCTATAACACGTAATATAACAAAAGGTATCTATAAATGGCTAATTAGACCTAAAAGATGGTGCTTTATGAAAAATTCTCTAAAAATTAACTGGGTTGGCCACTTTCTGGTGTAGCTTTTAGAGTTTACCTATATTTTAAAGGAGCATTTGCATCCATACCTGTTTTTTGGGTCACGTTTTAACTTGTACGTTTTGCAAAAAAAAAAAAATTGCAAGCGTACCCACTTTTTCGCGTAACTTCAGCATACGGGCCTGAAGTAGCAAATTCAATCACGCATACTTCAGCATTCTAGTAGACGGGCCTGAAGTAGCAAAAATTGCTGAACCAAGTGTGCTGAAGTTTTTGTTTGTAATTGCTGAACTTAAGCATTCTAGTGCTAAAGTTTTGTTCTCTTTTTGCTGAAGTTTTTATTTGTAATTGCTGAACTTAAGCATTCTAGTAGCTGAAGTTTTGTGATGCTGAAGTTATTTAGTTCATTTGTAAAAACTTCAGCACTCGGAAACAGTCTCTCTGCCCTTCCAGGGTAGGGGAAGGCTGCGTACATCCTACCATCCCCAGACCCCATTTGTGGGACCACACTGGGTTGTTGTTGTTGTGTTGTAAAAACTTCAGCACTAAATAAGCTAAAGTCTTTTTGTCCTGGATTCATTAGTTTTGTCGTTAAGCTTTTTCAGAAACTTCAGCAGAAGATGCTGAAGTTATTTAGTCCATTTGTAAAAACTTCAGCACTAAATAAGCTGAAGTTTTTTGTCCTGGATTCATTAGTTTTGTCATAAAGCTTTTTCAACAACTTCAGCAGAAGATGCTGAAGTTATTTAGTTCATTTGTAATAACTTCAGCACTAAATAAGCTGAAATTTTTTTGTCCTGGATTAATTAGTTTTGTCATTAAGCTTTTTCAAAAACTTCAGCAGAAGATGCTGAATTTTTTTTTTGTAATTAAACATTTTTATTTACCAAGTAATATTTACAAAATATTATATTAGTTTGATCTTGGACATCATCCCCAGATTCAAACTATATCTCTCAATGCTATGTCTTCTAACTACTCTCCTATTTACATGATATTAGGGTAGTAATAAAGAACTAGTAATTTGTTCTTGAACCATTGCATCATGCTACCTCGACCATGGATTTCTTGAACAAGTTGTCTAACAATTACTTCAATGCTCCTCTCTTTCTCTCGGAGTATCCTTGAGTTCCTCTCTTGCCATATGCAATAGACTGCACCAGCTAGGGACATTCTGTATACTTCTGCTGTAGAGTTCCTTCCATTGTAATGCTTTGCAGCCCATTCTAACTCTTGTCCCCATTCCATCTCCTGTCATTGTATTCCTTGCCACTGCAGTAGTGTTCACCATATCCTTGCTGAATAAGAACATTTAAAGAACAAATGCTCAATTGTTTCTTCTGTTGTTTTACACAGTATGCACCCTGTACTCTCAACACACCCCCATTTATTTAGTCTATCTCGTGTTAACAATCTTCTGTGAGCAGCCATTAGCAGTGTAAACTTCCACTTAGGCATTCCTGCATTGTTGCATGTAATTCTCCTCCATGAAACTTTAGTAAATTCACCTCTGAGCTTCAAATACATTGCCTTGGTTGAAAAGTTGTCCATCTGCATAAACTCCTCTTCTGTCAGCCCAGCTTCCTCCACTTGCTTCTTTGCCTTCAGTATATATTGGACCACCCATGATGCCTGCTTTGGGATATTGCCTGCAATCATGTGTCTTTTGTAGTAGAGGTGCATCCATTGTATCCACATTTTGTCTTTCTTTTTGCTAAGGTTCCAAAGTAGCTTACATATAGCTGCTTTTTTCCAGCTTCCTATATCCAGTATAGATGCTGAAGTTATTTAGTTCATTTGTAAAAATTTCAGTATTATATAAGCTGAAGTTTTTGAAAAAGCTTTCGAACATACTAGATAAATAATTACCTTATTCTTTCATAGTGTATTACTACTATAAAATAATCAGATTGCCAACAGTATCTAAATCATAAATTTTGGAAACAATAAACGTGAAAAGAACAGAATTATCATGAAAAGAATCACTAAGTATGACCTTAAACTTCCCGTACGTGGAAATATTCACAAATTATTGTCTACTAACTTACGTAATTATTTATAATTTATTTTTAAAATATCTGATAAACATACTTATGGCAATCATCCCATGAACTGAAGTTTCATAGCAGCACTAACAGCAGCAGAAGAAAGAAGAAGAAGAAAACGAAGGAGGAGAAGGAGGAGGACAAAGGGGGCTGAAGTTGTTTAAAAAGTAGGTACAAGTTAAACTTGTAAAAAAAATGGGTAGGTTAAATGGGGGCGATCAAATAGGGCGCCTCGTGCAATTTTTACTATTTTAAATTGTAATAGCAAATTAGTCACTGATCCGATTATTGACGTGTTTGCCCCAACAAAAATACGGAACATAAATATAGTAATCGCTACTGAAGTTCGAAATTTTGACAAGTAAAATCCCCCGTAAACTATGCTGGAATTTTCAAAATTTAATAATTTGGACATTTACTAGTACAAAATCCAAAATTTAGGAAAACTCACTGGGTTTTTAACCTTTACTAGTGCAAAACCTAGATTCATGAATTTTTGAATTTACGTTATATTTCAGCAATTTTTAATCTTTACATATAAACTTCAGGAAAAATTATTAGTTTTTAAATTTTTACTAGTACAAAATCTAGGAACGATTCAATAATCGTTCCTAGAGTTGTTCTGTATTTTAGATAGGAATATTTTTGTCCAGACTTATATTTTTACATTAATAAGTGATTGCTTTAACGATAAAATTTAAAATATAGAGCTCTAATAGCCGACCTAAGAAGTGGCTTTTTACCCAAGATCATCCAATTTTAGATGAATGAGTAAGAATTCCTCAACTGGAACTTAACTATGTATTGGGGAAAAAGAACTTAACTATGTAACTCTGCTGACTTAGATTGAGGCATTGAGCCCTTAATTCATGTAAGTTTTTCAAATTTTTTTAAATGTAGTTTGGTCTTTAACCCAGGAACTTTTGATCTGCCAAACAAGGAATTTGATGGTTTGTGTCTTGAAATTTATCAACTCCTCTACTTATCAATTGTCGGTCTCGAACATAATACGTGTGGATTTAATTTTTACTGTCAGTCACTTGGTTGCCCTTTATCAACCCCCCACTAAAGTAGATTTTTATTTTATATAAGAAAACAAAAGAAGCTACTACACCTCTGTCAAAGCAAATGCATTTGCAGTTCCCTTTTTCCATTCATTTGAACAACTGATAAATTTTTTTGATGACCTGCACAAATTTTTAACAACTATTTAGCAAACATACATTGACGTTTAAGATAAATCATATGAAAAGAGTTAGTTTCGTGTAGCCCATTTGCACAAGCGAGCTTGATTCTTTCAGAAGCCAAGCACGTGGAAATTGTTCTCCAAGCACGTGGAAATTCTTCTCTGTGCACGTGGAAATTCTTCTTTGGTAATAGATGATAGTGAGAGTTGAACACACGGCCTGTGTCTGCTGTAAAATTATGTTGAAACGTGGGACCATGTTTGTATGCATGTAAAATTTATTGAATTTAAATTCAATAAATAATTTGGAATATATTTTAAATATACTAGTCCAAATAAATATTATGGGCTAATATAATTGAATTAATTATATAAGTCCAATACATATGGATTAAATAAAGAGAAATTTTCATAAAGCACTATCTTTTAGTAGTAATTAGCCATCTATAGATACCATTTGCTATATTACGGATTATAGATACCTTTTATGTGGTTATAAGATGTATTTGATGTATTTAAGCTATTGTATTCATGAATACAGTAGCAAAAATAGGCGTGAATCAGGGAAGTCCAGCTAATTAGCTGTTGTATTCGAGTGTATTCGACTGTATTCATGGAGTGAAATATGGGATTACAGCTGGACATATTATTGTATTCGACTGTATTCACGGCGTGAAATAGGGGATTACACTGTTTTTAAAACGGAAAGTGAATCAATTAACATAATATACTCCTAATATAACTCAACAAACTCAATTATAACACATAAATTTTGTATTTTCAGTTATAAAAAAGATTCTCAACCGAA